ACAGGAGGATTTAGGCTTTTCCCTTCAGTCCGCGCCGCCCCGGGAAAAGGGAAAAACATTCTAAAAAAAAAAAAAAAAAAAAAAGCTTCTGGGCCAGACTGACAGATCTAGAAGACCACACCAGTTGAATAAGCTATGATTTAGGGACAGAAGGGGATCCAAGTGCCCAAAGTCAATAATTTGTTTTATAGCTACAAGTTTACCCAGAATGAGCAATAATGCTTCAAATCATGCAGTCAAGTCAAAGCTATTCAAAACTATTAGTTACATTTAAGCAGCATATGTACATTTACCACAAGACTAGTTTGCTTTTAGGAGCACAAGTAGCACACATGCTTCATGCAGACATGGAACTTGGGTTTCTAGAACAAAGAATTAATCAAGTCTCTGCCCCTTACTAAAGCTGCTCTAGTACAGTAGAGCAGAATCTACCTTTCCACAACTCAGCCAAGTGCGCTGCTTTTTTAAAGTGGTGGTCCACAAGCAATTCTGCAACATGCTTCCCAGTGTCCATGGGAGTAGCAGACTTTTCTCTAATATCCCATTTTGATCTTATAAGATTGTAGAACAATTTGCTTTACTTGGAAACCTAGAAGCTGTAGCTGCATTCACCTCAAGGCTTCTGTTCCCACACTACAAGTCCTGCAGTTTGGGGAGCAGCAAAGAAGAGTAAGCTCCAGTGGGGAGAACATAGCTGGTATTTCAAGTTAAAAAAAAGAAGCGTCACATGAAGCTTTCTAGCATTTATGCACTACCTGCTAGATTCATCCAGCATAAGAAACTTCACATATTCCCATGAGGTAGTGAAAACTGCTTTGATTTGACTGGATGTAGATCAACCCCACTGCAAAAAAAGGCACCAAGACGACTTGGCCTACATCATGGAAGACCCAACAGAAAATAGCTTGCCATCAATAAAGAAAGTAAGTCTTTCACATACCAAATACTATTGGAGTGGGTTCAGCTACTTGTTCCTCTTCTTTCCTTAGGTTTTCAGAAGCATCAAGTTTATCCACCTATGTCAAAGTGAACAGGAGAGGTGTATGAAGACCTTGCCTAGATGTCTCGCGTGCCACCTCTTTACAAGAGATCAGATGCTTCAGATATGGCATGTGCTTTCCAAGGCTTATTTTGAAGTTAACATTCTAGTGGTTTGTGGACCAATACATCCAAAAGGGAAAGTTCTAAAAAGTTCTGAACTGCTCTGATATGAGCAAATTTGATATTAGCCTCGAGGGTTAGCACTTGTTGGAATCCTACTCTAGCCAATATTAGACCTAGTGAATGGCATTGGAGCCTATTCTTACATTGAGAACTACACTTGCCAGATCTCAAGTTGGTGAATACATCTCCCTCTGAAAAAGATGGTTTGCTTATAGATTGTGTATGGGAGGGGGAATGGACAGAAGGAAAAAGCTGGCTTAAGCCATAAGTACAGTTTGGAACATCTATGCTTTTCTGTAGACTCAAGTCCCATGGCCTTTAGGCCACCTCAGACTGATAGAATGAGGTCTCCAATATAGACTTGCAACTGGAATCTATGTAGTTCTTAAAGAAGGTTCTGTCTTAGACTCAGGACAGTATTGTCCATGGGCAAGTAAAAAAAAAACGAGGGGAGCAGATCAGAGAAGACTTGATCAGAAGCTCATACTGGAGCCTTCAAGGTGCACCTTAAAGTTGACACCTGGCCTGGAAGAGCATTTTAAAAAAAATGCATCTTATAAGCCAAGTGAGCAGGTTGGGGATGCAAAGTGCACTAGAAATGAGAAGGTCCATTACTGAATTTCATCTGCCACCCCCATACTCCTTTTTCCAGAAATCCAAACTAAAACAGGAAGCTCATAAGAAACAAGGACTTAGTCTGAAGAGAATCTAGTTATCTTGTGGGGCTATCAAGTGTCACAATTAATTCTTGCTGATGAGCCAAAAGATTAGTAAATAATTCCAAGGAACATTAAAACAAGTCTGGTTGGCAAAGGATCAAGTAAAAAACTATTTTGGTACTACAGCTAGCAGCAGACCTTGTAAGGGGACAGGGTAAGATGCATCTCTTCAAGCATGAACCAAATGCCTTTCCTAATGGATGATCCAGCAAACATCCACAGCAGGTATCTGTATGTGGTAAAAAGGACTTGGACTCTAACCTATTCTATCTGGCACTGCCATTTGATGCTCAAGTAAGGAAGCTTGCCCACCAACTGAAAATGCAACTATTCTTCCAGGATCAGCACATTATATGCAGTCCACAGCATCTTTACAACCATCTACAAGTGGGGTATAGTACTCTAGTAGAGATTAAAACCAATCAGTCAATGTTAGTTAGATTTTGCTGCCAGCAATCGTTTATTCATCCTGTTTCTTCCTACAGTGAGAAGAACTTCTCCCCACTGATTCTTAGTAGTTCAAGTATCTCAAATTAGAGATACTTATAGGAGTACTTGAGCTGGAAGCCAGTTCTAAAATGGGGCAGCCTTTTTTGGTTCCTGTATTGTGTTTTTCCTATGCCCAATAATAGAAGCAATTGGGTGTTTCCTGCTAAAAGAGCCAGTCCGTATTTCCCAGTGAGAAAGTACAACATGAGGGCATAAAACAGCATATCAGTTAGAGAAAAGCCCATTCTATTCCACATTCTCCATAGTTAATTCCAGACTAAAATTAGTTCCACTGTAACCAGTCTCACCATGCATGTTCTTCTGGGAAGTTATCCAGTATTTAGTGGGTAGTGGTCACTTGCAAATCCAACCAGCAGTTTTGGAGTGCTTTTAAAAAAAAATTTTATTCTGGTTTGGACTATCTACTGTATTTGGGTTTAAGTAAAAAAAAAGAGGCTTTAGGTCTCACATCTGATACCAATAGTTTGTAAAAAACCCACATACCTTAAATGTATGTTGTTATTTCAGTTTTAAGCAGGTCAGTATTTCTGCTGTAAGGTGTCCCAAAACAGAGGTCAGCCACTTTTTAGAGTAACATGCTGTATGTGAAGTAGTTGGAAACTCGTTTGACAAAATGGAGTTCTGTAGATATTTCCCTAGTCCTACCTCACCCATTTTGAGGTTTCCAATAATGGAAACCTTTATCAGAAATACCCTCTGCTACAAAAAAAGTTTGCAACATTCAGTACTGTCTTGAAACAGTTTAAGGTCTGTCTTGAAAGTATTAGCCAAGATGTTAAGCAAAGAGCACTCATTTGCCTCCCTAGCCCCAGAGGAGAAAACAAGAAAAGTCTGGTTGGATTTTCAAGCTGCTTGTGAGAAACTGCTTTTCTAATGCATTAGAAGTGAACAGGAAATGGAGTTAGACAAAATAAGCTAGATTATGCTGCTCTTCTGGCAGAAACTACAGCTAGGTTCCTGTAACAGAATCCTAGATTATGTCAAGGGACACAAATGAACACAGAGTTTAAAATCAGAGACTGTCACCTTATTAAACAGCCCATCAACCTGTAAGAAAATTCAGAGGGAATTACTTAAGTCAATAGTGCCAAAAAACGAACAACGTAAGTCAGAGTTTCTAGGTTAACTATTAAGAAAAAAATAAAAGTTGTTACTTGTGGTGTTTAAATAATGATAGTGCACGGGCATTGGAAAGCTTGCTTGTTTGTACACAGATACTTGCTGTGAGGTAAGTAGACTTGTTCAGGTGATTCAAGGTGTACTGGCTACAAGTATCTAGCCAGTATGTGATGCAACTTTAAGACACCAGAGATGGCCTGCTCAGTGCTTCCATGCAAGGACTTGCCATTTGGTTTACACTTGTACTGCTTGTTTGTTAGCCAGAAGCATGAATTGCACTTGGTTCTGACCATCCACCATGAGCCCCTACTGCTACAGGGCTATTAAAAAAAAAAATTGTAACCCGATTTCCTTCTGTTAAAGAGGAAGGATTCAGCAGCTAGGAGGTTTGCAAGAGGAGCTACAGAGGATGCAGTAGCTTTTGGAAAGAGTTATGTAGACTCATCCCACTTGTGTCCCACTAAAGGGCTTTCAAGGCAAAAGTTAAGGTCTAAAACTGCATTAAACAAGTAGGGCACAGGTAGCCAAGGATTCAGTTGGATGACCAGCATGTCCCTTTCCTGTATTCAACTAGTGTCAAGTTGTCGTCATTTAGCATTCATACTGGTGGAGAATTTACAATATAGTTTGGCCTGAGATTCTGGAGCTACATACTTTAGTTACTTAGAATAAGAGCAGCATGCCCTCATAGGTTGTGGATGTAGAGCCATTCATAGTAGACATAGCACTGCTTTTAGGGAAAAAACTACCCCAGCACTCCAAGCCCATTACCCTTCTGGCAACCCAAGATCCAAGCAGCCTTTGGTGTTTTATAGTCTTGAGATTACAAAGTCAAGAGCCATGATGTTGAGTCTAGAACAGGAAAGAGCGCCAAAAAGACCCCCCAGTTTTAAAGGGCACCTGCACTGCCCAACTGAAGCATCTGCAGTTTAAAAACTACAGCCAGGCCACATGTGTGAACAAAGCAACAAGTACAAACACTTGTCTTTCCTGCTGGGAGTTTGGAGTCAAGTCCAACTCTGGTGACCAGTCATAGCTCATATTTAGGTCTTTTAAAACCTGACAGTTAAAATGTCCAATTAAACTAAGCTGAGTTACAAGTGCATCCAATCTGGACAGCAAGAGTGAAGTCAAAACAGGAGAAAACCTCCCTCTCAAAACTAGCCTTTGAGAAGAATTCAGTATAATGAAGTCCATGGCTTGGTCAAGCAAGACATTTTACAAACAGATTAGGGTAAAGAACTGAGCTTTCCAAGAGAATCAAATACTCACTTTGGTAAGGTATTCCCTCATCACCTGGATAAAATAAGGCATTGCAAAGTCCATGATGTTATGCCTCCAGGCCAACTCAAGGACTACATCTGGATGCAGTAAGTCATAGCATGTGAAGAGACAAGCTGCAAAACATTCCTGCTTCCCTTCTTCCAGGAACCACTGGAGCAGTTTCTCTGCCAGCTCTGCATCTTTAGACTCTGCAGCATACTGCATAGCATCCTACAACAGGCAAAGTGTTTAATGAGTTTCACCAAGTTGCTTCAAACCCAAGTTCCAAGCAAGCCAGGTTTGGTTTGGTTTTGGAAAAAGAAAAAAAAAAAAAACACAGAACACTGACTACCACAAAATACAAGGGGTGCTTTGGACAAAAATCAAGGCAAGCTGATAGCAAAGGGAACTTTAAAAGCCTTTAGAACTAGACACCCTTAATTTCTGTATAAGTAGCAAGACCTACTTGCTACTGGCAGGTATCCATTGGCTAGTGCTTTTGTACAAAGCCTTAAAAGTAGCCAATACAACTTACAAAATAACTGGTTTCAGCTGTGCCTACCCACACAATTTATTGGTGTCAAGTTGTTTTTTTTAACTTAGTATTACACATAATCCTTATGAAATGCTGGATTAGCACCTCATATGCACATTCAAAGTCACATTTTTGTTTGTTCAAATGGCCTTCCTGTTAACAACTGGTATCTAGGATGTGTCAGTCTGTTAAGAGATAAAATACTTCATTAAGGAGATCCAACACTTAGCTTTCCTGGATTATTCTAAGGCCAACCACATAATTGCTGTTCTCAGGCAGCAGTGTTTTAAAAGCCAGTTTGAGTGGCAACTGCAGAAGTGCTCTCTCCTCTACAGACAGGATTGTGTTAAGTATATGTTTATACACAGGAATCATGGCTTCTTACCCATTACCTGGATCAAAGTGTGTCCTTTTGTTCCGATGGGTTCTTTGCTTGCATATCCCAGCTCTTCCCCTTCCCCCACCTTTTGTATTCAAATAACTCTCTACTCTTGGGCTGCACTATGCTCATCCTTTTCACAGCATCTGAAGTGAGCTTGGAGTTTACATTAAGTCTGTGGTCAGTATCTTCAGTTTGACCACAAAAGGTACATATTTATCTGGCCTTCAGGGGGAATAATAGCCAGTAACCCATCATTAGACAGGTGTCTTAGTCTCAATCTTGACTTGCTTCCTCAAAGTCTGTCAATTTGACATTTTGCATTCCTTGGTACTGCTCAACAGAAAGGAAGTAGTAGGGTTTCTTACTTATTGACCTCAATAGCAATATTTCACCTAGGCTTCAAAATGCTTAGCTAGGCCACCAGGATTCATGGCAAGACACTGCTGCCTCATCTAGGAGGCAGTTGACAAATCTCAGTCTAGTTCCCAGACCATACCACTCTGGTGTGTACTTAGGCCATCAACTTGCTTGTATATGCACTGTTACTAGTATTCCCCTAGATACAGGCCAAATACATACCTGGGCCATTCTAGTTGAATTTTAACCTCAAATCTTAAGTTAAAGGGGAGAAAGCACTTCAAACTATGGGCAGGGCTCCAACCTCATGAGACAGTGGCAAAGTTACAGCTCTATGAATATAAATTGAAGTCTCAGAGCAAGAATGTCACCCATATTCCAAAACGCTTATTGTGAAAATGTTAAGGCATTTTGCTTAATACTAGGCGTTCAAGAGCCCAAATTTAAGAACCAAAGCTTGAACTAGTTTCAAGACTGACAACATTCCAATTTACATGGCTTGAAGTTCACAGCAGCATGGCTTGGAGACTCCTTTGCTCCTCCAAAAGGAACAAACCTTGTAGAGACGATCCTTCTTGCAGAGTTCCACACTTTGTTTCCAGCGATTGTTCCCCTTGTACAAGTATGCTGCAATACGCCTGAATTCAATCAGTTCATGCTTCTCCAGACGCTGAGCCAGTGTGATGTTATCAAAGTTGTCATAAGCATCAATAGAAGCTCTCAAACCCTGTCTCAGAAAAAGAGCCATTAGTTGTGAGACTTCAAGCAAGCCTTTATGCTTCTAGAAAAAGCAGAGCCCCCCAGAAGAGTACATAAGCCTGAATTGCTGCATGGCTAAAGGTGATGTCAGCTGTAAGTTACAGAAGCTATAACAATATTCTTTCTAGTACCTCCTGCTCAGCTTTGAAAAAACTGGCTTTGGAGCAAAAGCTCAAATCAGTTCCACAAGGCTTACACAATTATGCAGGTAGCTTTAAGAGTGCCTCCCATTCAGGACCTCCTTCCTCCCCCTTTGATTTCTTTCAAAGTAGAAAGCCATTCCATTTCTTGAAGCGAGCTTTAAAAAGAGTTGAAAAGTAACAAAGTTGGCCATGCAGGGCACAAAACATGGTGAGCTTGCAGCAGCCTGCAGGGATGTTATGGGAAATAAGCAAAAACAGGGAGGTAGGAGCGCCAATGCAGCTTCTACTTTGTGGACAGAGGCACCAAATCACCCTGCAACTCCACATAAGGTTCTGTGGGGGAAGGCTCACCTGGTAGTCCTCTTCTTCCGTCAGAAGGTTGTTTAGAGCCTCATTGACTCCTTTGTTGTTGTGGTTCTGGACTGAGCGCAGGTAAGGCTTCACTAGAGGCAACTGATTTACCTGGAAGAAGAGGCATGCATCAAATGCTAGGGTCAGTTACTGAGCCATGTGCATGCATCTCATCAGCTCTTCAAAGGGCAGCAGCAGCCACTGCTGTCATACAAAACTATAGGGCAATAGCCAGCAGCTCAAAGTAGTTCAGAGAAACTGCTGGCAGGAAAGAAATCTTACTAAAAAAGCTTAAAGCTTTGAAACAATACTGACCTTTCCATTACTACACCAACCTGGGGAGACGCAACTAGCTCTACTCCATGCCATTCAAGTACTATCTAGACTCCTAGCCTTGTAAGCAGTTTGAGACTTAGCTTCTCAGGCCACTGCCCAGAAAAAAAAGCCACTCTGGGAAGGTCAAAAGAATGCTTAGTTTCCAATATGCACAGCCATTCTCTCACCTTTGCAAAGAAGCTAACTGTTCTGGTGTGGTCCAGCCGTGGAGATAACACCAGCAGAAGATCATTGATCAGGAGAGGTTTGTAGTCCAAATAGAACTGCAGGGCTTTGTAATACAGCTCCACATTGGCCACCTAGATGGGCAGGAACAGGGGAGTTCAAAAGATCATTTTTTTTTTTCCCTTTGGAAGTTTTACACAACACTAATGATCCTTCATGGATTTGAAGCTTGTGACCAACTGAGCACCTACTTTAGCAGGATCCCACAAGCTAGCTGCCATTTACCTTGGCAATTATATCTTTGAACTGTCCTTCTTTCCAAGCATCAGTGGGATGGTTCATCATTGTGATTATTGCATTGTCATACTCTTCATACTTGTCATACAGGAAGACCAGTTCTGCCCAGAGGTGAGCCTGTTCAGCAGCTCTGAGCACCTGGGACAGGGCAGAAGATGTTAAAAGGGGGGCATGTCAAGCAGTCACTCGACCACTCCCTAGGCACTTGATATTATGCAGAGATCTACCTTTGGAATGTTAACTCTAGACCAGAAGAGTTCTAGATGTTCTCTCATCTTCTGAGGCTTGAATTTGGAGTACAAGATGGCCAATTCCGTGAACATTCCCATGTGAGCACGCTCAAGGCCTAAAGCAGCTTCCAAGAGAGCAATCAGCTCTTCAAAATAGCCGCGATCCTGCAATGAAGGGGGATGTTACTTGGAGAGACTTATAGGAAAGAGGCAAGGATGTTCAAAAAGATTTAACCCCTATAGCTTAGCTGAAGTTACTCTACTACAGAAGAGCATCTGGATTTTAGCAAAGTAGGGCTTAGCAGAAGACCCCCCTTTCTCTATTTCACTGAAGGGCATTTAAAAAAAAAGCAGCAACATGACAACTCCCACAAGGGCAGGTGGGGGGGAGGAAGTGTGCACATGTACATGCTCCCCTACAGTGGAAGTTTCCCCATCTGTTGTCTGCTCCAAGTACACCATCTTCCTGCTCCTTTCACAACTTTGGCGTTACATTTAAAGATGTTTTACACAAGTTCCATTAAGTTGACAGAACAGAAGCTTGTCACTTGGAGATCTAGCAAGAACTATTCCTCAGTTCTGACCATTTTTAGTTTATGGCTAGTTTCTTACAGTCATTAAGAGAAAACCCTCACCTGATAGTAGCTAATCAGCTCTTCAAGTTCATCAGCATGGATTACTATATGCAAGCCACATATCTGTGCCAGCCGGAATTCTTTTCCATCCACACAGGCAAAGCACACCTACAATGAAGAGTTTAGACACTAGTCAGGATTTGGACATCCAGTTAGTGATCAACCTTTCAACTAAAGTGGAAAAACCAAAAGGCTAGAGTTTCTACATAAAAATGCAAGATGACATCTCCTTGATCTATCTTTTTCCAGCATCTTGGATTGCCACCCTTAAAAACAGAAGAGGTACCAAGTCAAAGACAGACTTTGATTTTGCCTAGTTAAGAAATCTGTACCATGCAATTCTTTAAAAACAGCAATAAGCAGCTTTAGGGCTGGCCACTTCTTACAGGTAATTCTGTGAAGTCTATTTGAGTTGCCAGTGTTCTGCAATTACAAACTGCTACAAGCAAGGTTTGCCAATAGGCAAGTGGCTCTAGGAAAAAAAGGAGGAGGAGAACAGCCTAGACTTTCGGAAGTATTATTCCAAATGGTACTCGTAGGAGTATCCATCCCTAGATCAGAAAGGGCACACCACTGGATACTCAGAAGCACTAGCGTTGGCTAGGACAGGTTTGGAGTTCAAGATGAAAGCATGATAGCTTACCTCCTTCCATGTCCTGGTGCTGTTGGCTTTGCGGCCACTGTCCACTGCTGCCTGGTACTCTCCAAGGTGCACCAAGGTAGATGCCAAACGACCAAAGTTAGACACGTTGTTGTAGAGCAGCTTGGCTGCTTCATACATTCTTTCATCATAGCAGCGATCACCAACCTAGAGACAAGGACCCAAGGTATTTGGATTAGATAGTGAAGAGGGAGAGAAAAAAAAAAGTTCCAACAGCCTTGAGATTTTAAAGTCTACAGGCCATCAACAAGTATTTAAGCAAAACATACCTGTTGTATATGGGCATTGTTAGGACCACTAATGAACTCCTCCAGCTCTGACAGGCGGTTGGTTTTTGCCAAAGCAAAAATGAGTTCAGTTTCCACATAAGACTCTCGGGCCTTTTTCCTGGCCATTTGCAAGAATTTAACCAGATCCTCCCAGTTGTCTTAAAAAGAAAAAAAATAATAATAAGTGAGCCTATCCCAAATTCATTTCTATGCAATTTCTCCTTTTCCAGACTCAATTCTCTAGAGGACAAGCCATGTAGAACAAGTTGTTGTACCAGAGTGGATATGTAGAAAATCACTGGGCAGCCTTATTAGGATATTTATAACCACCCCTCAGAGTTCTTTAAAAAGGGAAAGAACAATGCAATACAAATAAGCTGCAGACTGCAGTTTCAAAGAATTCAAGTCAAATAAAGCAATTCAGTAGGCTGTGCCAAGTACTAGTGTCTCCTGGACAGCAATGACCAAGACTGGTCAAAATCTTCTAGTAGGTGGGCCCAAGTGAAAATACTATTAATCCTTTTTAAAAGTGCTTTCCCTTCCAAGAATTCAAGCTGCAGCTCATATATCCAAGCACTCGTGTGTGGCAAGCCTGCTTAACTACAGATTTCAAGAGTCCTTGGCTTACTATTTCTATTAGCTGCCTGAACCACTTCCATGTAAGCAGAGGGATCATCAGCCTTTATGTAAGAGTCAATGGCTTCCTTCACCAGGTCTTTCTGAAGCTGTGCTCTGGCTAGTTGGCTCCAGACAGCTGGCTCATTACACCTCTCAGCAAATTCATAAGCACGGTCAAGGTTGCCTATATGCTCTATCAGCACCTAAAGTAGGAGAGAAAAAAAAAGGGAGTGCACTTCCTAAGAACAAGCATTCTGGAGAGAAGGGTTAGACTAAGACTAGTCCAAGCAAAAAAAGGAGGTCCTTCTTCCCATGCCCAACTGTTTTGGGAGACAGCTTCCCCACTAAGAGGGAATGAAGCAATTAAGCCATACATAAAAGCTATTCATATTCTGGATAAAAACAAAAAACAAATACCACCCTTGACCTTTGGGTTCTTCTATGGGAAACTGTTTGGTATACCTTTGCAAGATTCACCCTCCTGCCCCATTTCACCCATGGTAAAGAAGCCACTAGTAACAGCATCTCACTTGTATTGCAGATGTGTTGACATCAAATTTCCGAAAGATGGCAAAGGCTTCTTCATACAGCTCATTGCTGATAGCAATGTTTGCAATGTCTGGGGCATCATAGTTATCCAACCGATTGATGTATTCCATCACACGAGTGCGATCAGCCTTAATGGCAGTCAGGATCAGTAGATTCTGCAGGTTCCTTTAAGAGCCACAGGCAAAGCATTTAGAATACTAGGTAGCATTATCCAACCCATTATCAGGCAAAGTGCCAAAAGCAGACTCCTGCCTTTCTGCACCCCAAAAGGTACTTGCAACATAGGGTTTTGCCAAGTGCCTACAAGCAAGTAATCAAATAATTAAAAGCTAAGCCAACTAACACCACTTGCTGTACTAATATTAGCCAGCACTTTATTAGCTGGATGCTGGTTTAATACCTTTCCAAGGGATGCAGCAAAAGCAAGACTGGAAGTACCATTTCTGGGTTTTGCTGCTGCCACAAGCAGAGTTCTTGCTACTTTCAGCCCATGGCTCAGGGCAAAAGTAGCCTGTGCAGGGTCCCCCTCCCTGTCCCCCAGCACATGGAGGCGGCCAGGGAGTGCACATTTGGTTAGCCAGAACATTTGATTATCCAGCATCCCCCATTCCTAGGGGATGGCAGATAAAGATGTACAGTAAAAGCTTTGTTATTTCCAAATTGCTTCACTCTCTCAGTTAAGTGAGATATTACTTTGATGGTCATCTTTGCTGGATGTCTTGATGCCACTGAAGTTGGCAGACTACTTTTATGCATCTAGGAGTCAATGGTTCAGCTCTGTTCATGTAGTGCTAGCAGAGGAACAACATTAGTTCTTTCCTTAGAAAGTTTCTCAAAAAAACAACAAAAACAGGAAGGTGGTATGTGGATGCCCCCTACCTATGCTCACTGAACACAGAGTTGTCCAATACTATCTTTTCCAGCAGCTCAATTAGTTCGTTGGGAAGATCTGCAGTCATGAAGGCTTTCACTGTAACAGAAACCTCTTCTGGATCCTGCGTCTCTGACAAAGCTGTCTGAACAACCTGGTTTGGAAGAACAGAGATGGAATTGGACTAGACTAAGCCTTCCAACTCATTAAGTTACCAGCCCAAGCTGTAAAGCAGAATAAGCATCCCCCCTCCAGTAAATTAGGAAGTTCTAAAGCACTGCTATTTCTGTATTGCTTGACAAAGTCAGGAGAACCATTTATTTTGGTCTGCTTCTAGAAAGAGAAGAGTCTAGCCTCTCAGTACTCTACGGTAGACTCACTGCACCAAAGGTTGGAGTGTAGACAGTAGAAGCTTAGGGAAGAAAGCTACAGATTAAAATATGCACCAACTGCAATAGCTAGCCATAGAGGACTTTTAGATGACTGCAAACACCACCTGCTTAACATGGGTCAGCTGTTAAAGCAAAAAGGGATTCTGAAGTCCAGTACTTAAGACTAAAAACTTATTTGTTGCTAGCTAGTTGTTCTACCATACCTGATCAATGAGCTGTCGCCTGAATGGATTGTTTTCTTCAAGAACGTTCGCCCAAAGTTCTGGATCCTTCCTGCGTACAAGGTAGCGGGCCTCGCTCTTGAACAAGGAGTTCTCATTACAAACCTAGACCACAAGAGACATTAACACTGAAAGTTGTGCATGTTCAGTGGAAAGTAAAATTTTAAGCTTTTCTTTCAACTCTAGTTGACAACTCAAACTTTTGTTTGCAAAAAGTTATGGCCAAGAGTTTGTTCCAGCTGCAACTCAAGTGATAGATTCCAAGCTGGAGTTTGTATCTATCTGCTCTGTAAAGCTTGCCAAGACTAGAACTTCAGAGTTCCTGGGACTTTCTTGATTCTGCTTAAGATTAGGTGTCAGACATCCAGTTTATGGCAGATAGGAATAGATACCACTGAAATGTTGCACTATTTCTCTGCTTATAAAAAAAGTTTCATGCGGACTTAGTTTCTGAATGCAGGAACTCACCTAGTCTTGCTCCACTTCATTGCCACAATTTTTTAAAAAAAAAAAGATCATGGTAGGATAGAAGAAGTTTGTAACACTCCAAAATGGTCCCATGAATTAAACAGCAGATCACATAAGTAGTTAGAACTCAATTTTATGTTGAGCTAAGCCTAGCTACATAGGTTAGAGGCCACTTGACATTTGTGCCAGTAAGTTAATATTAACTCACATTAATGTGTCTGAAGGGGAGGTCTGAGATCAATTTTCCTTCCACTATTTGATATATGGAGTACCAAGATACAAGCTTTAGTAAGTACTGTCAAAAAGACTAAAACCCATGTTATTCCAATACCAGCAGTCCACCACCCTTCCCTCTGCTCTAGGTGCACACAGCAATTAAGGACTGTCCTCTGGGAAAGTGGTTAAGATTTCCCATGCTCAGACTAGTCAGTTTGGAGACAAAAACAGTTAAGCTATTGGAAGAGATGGGAGCCCCTTTACACAGAACACCTCTGTTCACTTGAGGTATTCACAACCCACACCCAGAGAGGAAGCCTGGAATAGTCAGGCAAAGCTAATCAGCTCCCATCTGATCCGAAAGATTGCTAAAAGCCAAAAAGGGAGTAGTCAGCCAGCTTTTCAGAGGAGTTTTGTATTTTGCCTATGCTGCATAACTGTTGCAGGTACAATGATTTATACCACCAGTCACCACATAGTGAAGGACAGATGGCTCATGGCACCAAAGCAAGCAGCTTGCCAGTATTGGTATGGAGTAGGTATCTAGTCCAATCTAGTCTGAAAAAAAAAAAAAAAAACTTAGACATTCACTTTTGTATTTAAAGTGAAATCAAAATACTGCAAAAAGAATTTGGCTAACCTTAATAAGTTCAAGATCACACTGGCCCCTCTCATAAGCAACACAGGCCAAGTGCGGGTCCCTTTTTTCACAGTATTTGCCTACAACACGGCTGTCATAGTAAGGATTCTCACGGAGGAACCGCTCTGGGTTGTTATTACTGTCAATGTAGATTTTGGCCAGAGCATTGTGGGTGGCAGGTTCTTCACAGCCTTCATGAATTCTAGATTCAAGCCATGGCAGCAGCAATTTGAGCCTTTGGAGAAATAGAAGGAAAAAAAGATAGAAGCATGCTGCATACATTTTTTACAACCCAAGCATGAAAACTTAAGTCTGTCAATAATAGGTTTACTCCTGGACTCTGCCCAGTGGAGAACCATCCATCTGTGCCAAGATATTCTTATAGGAGTGAGTATCTCTACCCAATCTATGAAGTAGGTGTCTGAAGTGACCCTTTACTTTTACTGTAAGGTGCATGCCTGTTCCACAGCTTTTCCAAGGAGGGCAACTAGAACAAAGAAACAGGCAAAAGCTTCATAGGTTCAAGAAGAGTATGCATGAGTAGGACATATTTAAGCAGTAATGAGGAAGATCTTGGTCACCAGCTAGCACTGAACTAGGGAGAACGTTTTAGTAAACAAGACAGAGGTAGTGTTCAGATCCTGTTAGTGGTTAACAGGAATGAGTTCGGTGAACCAAGATACCTGCTAGGTGACAGGAGAATACAGCCAGCCAACTCAGGGCAGTACTCAGTAACTGTCTTGGTTCCATTTTTTTCAAAACTTGTAACCCACTGTTTGTGACTGAAGGATCTCCCACACTTCAGTTAGATACCTGAAAGTGTACCCCTCACCCTAGTTTCAGGAAGCTATACAGGAAGAGCCCTAAAAGCTTGGAATCTTGGGGAATTAAGCTTCCCTGTCCATCTAAATAATGGACAAAGTTCTTGTCTACTTCTCTACATCCAAGTACCCCCTTCCCTGATCCAGTGAAGCAAGCCAAGGGGGCACATCAGTTATTCTTTTTGCTTTTGAGCAACTCTGAAGCAATGCTTGTAAAAGCCATTTATCAGCATCAAGTACCTTTATGTTCTCCAGACTTACCTATTTCTTTTTTCCACTTCAGCCACCAACTCATCTGTTGAGAACTGGCCTCTAACCACCATAATCAAGTTCTTAATAACATCCTCAGAACAATCCACATCAAGCAGCCCTCCAACAACTGCTGGTATACGGCTTGGATTCACCTAGAAGCCATCACTAAGACTTAGTTCAGGGCTTAGTAGCTATACAACCAGGAGATAAAAAGAATTCAGACTCGACTGCAAGTCAGTCTGCTATTTGAAGTTGTGGAACCACACACCAGCATTGCACAGAGTATTTCTGGCATAGATGCACATTAGTAGGATGTGCTCTCATCCACAAGTACTGTACTCCTAGGTTTAACACAACATTAAAGTAGTAAGTTTGGTCTAAAGGATTTGCCATTTCATTCTAATCCCAATCTTAGGAGGGGTGGGAACAGATGACTTAAGCAGGGTGTGGGGCCTGGGGCAAGTAATCCACCGCTGGCTTCCTTGCATCAGGCTTGTGGTGGGGGAGGGGGAAGGATGCCGAGCAGCCAGATGCAAGGCTAGCAGCAACATAACGTCACCATGTTGTGCTACCCAGCTCCACAGGGCCTCCCGAAAAGCATAGGGTGACTGCCCCAGGCCCTAATTTGCCCACCCTACAGATGGCCTTGGGTAGAAATTAATCTGTGACATTCTTGATTTAGGATCAGCTTCAGGAGCCAGAACTCCATGATGGGTTTTGTTTTTTGTTTTTTTACCTTCTGAACATAGATCTCTATGTACTTCTGTAGGTTGTTGCGGTACAAGTAGAGAACCAGATCATGAACAAAGTCAAATCGGTCACACACAATGATCAGAGGAAGCTGGTCTGTGAGCTTGGCCTCCTATATTTTAGGAAGAAGGACAAGAGGTTGGAGAAGCAAAGAGGCTCATTATGTAAACTGTACAGACAAGGTGGTCATCATAGAGCTCTCAATTTTAGTAGCTAGCCCAGTGACTGTCACTGAATAGCAGCCTCCAAGTGAAAACAGAAGTGCAGTCTGGTATCTATTTTGGAAATCTTCCCCCAAGCCCACCCCTAATTCCTAGACAGCCAGGCAAGCTGCATTTTGACTTTGACTCTAAAAAACTGACCAGTAATTCTTTAAATTTTGGAGGTATAAAAAGACAGTCAAGCATTTAAGATATTAATCTTTTTAATCCAAATAGTTCCTTGAGTTCAGCATCTGGGCTAAGCTGTGTGAGCTTCATAACAAGCCTTGTTTTGCCAAGAGTCACTCACAGGAGTAGTTTCCTTCACAACAAGCTGTTACAAGCCTTCTGCAGTAGGCTTAGCAAGGCTGTAGGAGAGGCATCTGAGGATTTGGGTGCCACAATGCTTTGTTTATCTCCATAAAAAGAGTGGCCAATAGCTATTTTGGTAAAATCAGCATCTAAAAACAGACCTCAAGATTTGATCAGATCAGGAAACTTGCATGCAGCCCCAGTAATATGCAAGTTTCTTAACGTAGCCTAATTATTCCTAGATGTAACCAAGAAGGACCTCTGTAGGTAGCCTAGTATTTCCACCCCACCTCTATTTTTATTGAGCAAAATTTTTACATTATATATTTTTACTAGATTGTTCTGGCATCTGCCACCACTGAGAACAAGGAACAATGGTCTCAAGGTGCAGCAAGGGAAGTTTGTTAGATGAGAAAGTGCTTCCCCAGCTAGGAAGGTAGTAAAAGCAATGGAACATCACCCAGAGGCAATTGTGGAATCTCTATCCCCGGAGGTAGAAGACCCAGCTAGATGAAGCCTTGGCTGGGATGATATAGTTGGAAGGCCTTGCTTTGAGCAAGGGGTTGGACTAGATGACCTCCTGAGGCCCCTTCCAACCCTCCCTTGCTAGGATTACATTTAGTACTATTAAAAATTCCACTTGTTCCTAGCAATACTGGCAAGGTATTTAGAGCCTCACTGCCACCTAGAATTCATGAGGTATTCAGCACTCCCTGAAGAAGCAGCTGGCAACTAAAGATTAGCTGTACTATCACCAGAGCTAGTTCAGGTATCAGACACTATACTTTGGGTATCAGCACCATTTCTATTGAATAATTCTAGACAGATGTTACCTTCAGAAAGTTTTTCACTCGTTCAGGGTTATAGCAGTTACTTTCACGACAGATCCTTTCCACTTCCTTGATTTGGCCAGTCTTGCAAGCTGCTTGGATATACTTGAAGTGGACATCAGGATCCTGGCTGAAGTTCACAATTGACCCCAGGAAGTAGAATAGTCCTAAGGGGGGGTGGGGGGAGGGGAGGAAGATAGGTAGCCTTCAAATCTATGAAGACTTCAGTGAATGATCACAACTTTGCTGAGCAGTTTTCAAAATAAATCATAAAGTTTTGGAAATGCACTTCCAGGTAGACAGGGTATTTTAAGAAGTTTTTGGAAAGCAAAAAAAAGTTGTCACTATGGTTACTGTACAAGTTTCCATGAAAGGTTTGCCCAGAGGCTAGGCTATCTGTATAGCTGCTAGCCCCCAGGACACCTACATACCTAGAAAAAAAGCCATATAGCAACTAAATATGCTCAAGTAGTAGTGCCTAGGAGATCACTCAAAACCTGGAACAAGTCCATCAGCAACTTTCTAGAAGAGGTTTGAGCATAACAACAAGCACTGTACCTTCATAACTTTTGAAAGATTCAAAGAGCTCCACAAGAGACTGGGTGCCAAGCTGCTCATGGTATTTAGAAGCCACCTGCACACACAGCTGCAGATTTTGCCTGATGTTGGCCGACAGCATTGCACGCAGACACTCTACAGAGTCCTCAACTGACAGGGAGCCAAAGAAGTTCACAAGCCACTGAGGAAAAAGAGACATGGAAGTTTCTCACCAGAAAGCAGAGAGAAAAAAAAGTTCTTCCACCTGCTTACTGCACTTTTGCAATTTTTTTTTTTTTTTTTATAAGCTTCAAAAAGATCTGCTGTATTGTTTAACCCCAGAACTGGGGTTTTAATTGGTGCATATTTCAGGACAGCCAAAAAATGAATTTCAGCATTAAAAAAAAAAGGCTATAGGCAGCAGTTGAAGGAACTGTGCTCCCCTCCATCTCTCTCTGAAGCCCAGGTCATAGACAGGTGGCCCAGTTTCTACTGGGCATGGAAAGAAGCAGCAACCCCTCACCCAAGAGACCCATGACAGAAGAGGTTATTTGAATTACTCTAAGGAATCCCACCCCATATTCCTGGAAAGGAGAGACCATTTCTGTTGTTTTCAGAATGGAAGCCCCCAGTTGCTTAGAGACAAGCTAGTAACTTTACCCTAAGTAGATTCCAGTACTATTCTTACCTCAGGGTTCAAAAGGTGCGTGTGAACAACAGCACGTTTGATATCATAGAGGTCAGTGTAGTGTTCTAGGGCTCTCTGCAGCAAGCCTGCCTTTTCACATAACTGGGCAATGTGAGCACGATCATAGTGTGTAAACATTTGGTTCCCAAGAATGGCATCTGCAACCTAAGACCAACAAACATGTTAAGAAACACCTGAAAAAATGGTTAGTAGAGCACCAGGTCTTAGAACACAGGGAAGAACCATCATTAGACATTTGAGGCTTGCTATTTACTCACCTCTTTAGGGTCCCACTTTGCCATATTCCTGCAGGAAGCCTTGTATTCTTGGTCCACTTTTACTTCAAGCCTAAAGTATCCCTGAACACTAGTCTGCCATCCCCCAAAGCTACAAAACACTAGCCTCAGGGTACCATTCAGGAGTTCAAGCTTGCTTTAAATAGGCTAAAAAGCAACAGTGGAGGAAAGCTTAGCTTCAGGTCTTACCTGGGGTGCATGAATTAGGTTCATTTCCAGTAGACGGGTCTGGAGATGTCCTTCAGCAGGGCAGTTGTTTTTCAGTGCATCCAACAGAAAGGAAGTGCACTGCTGAATCAGACTGTTCTCCATGAATACATCTACAATCTACAAAGCCAGAAGAGATGAAGGTAATCAGTCACCTCATTTTGGAGTACAAGCTCCTGCATGCAAATGGTGGTTGCCTGCCTGCTCTAATACCAGATGGATTGGGGGCAGGGAGGTTGGCAATTGCCAACCAATTGTCAGTGGCAAATTGGTAAGGGAGCACTTAAGAGCAGCTGAATGTCTTCAAGTCAGCAGGACCAGACTGACTACACCCAAGAATGCTAAGGGAATTGGCTGGAGTCATTGTGGGACTGTTGGCAAAAGCCATTTGAAGACTCAGTGCTTAGGAGAGGCCCTGAGACTGGCAGAAGGCTAGTGTGGTGCCACTCTTTAGAGGGGAGGAGGGAGAATTTGGGAAACTATGAGCTGGTCAGTTAGACCTTGATACTAGGTAAAAATAGGAGAGAAAAGAGGTTCAAGAAAAATCTGTCTATGAGGCTGGCAGAAGGCACGATGCCAAGGGACAGCCAACATGGTTGTTTTGGGAGGGCAGCATCTGTTCCTTTATAGGAGATGAGGTTGGTCAAACACTTAAATGTGGGAGACAGTTGATGTCAAGCTTGGATTTAAAAAAAAAAAAGAGGTCTTCAATATGGTCTCCCATAATGTGTTTTTTTGTTTTTTAATATAAAAGACTGTGGGATTGTGCGCTGGTAGAGTCCCTGGTCAGGTGGGTTGGGAAACTGGCTAAGGGGTCAACCTAGAGAATGTCTGTACCATCTTGGCGGGAGGTGACCAGTGGTGTCCCATAGGGCTTAGTTCTTGGCCTCATGTTGTTCAACTTCTTTATCAATGGATTTAGCCGAGGAAAGAATTGCTCACAAACCTGGCCATCATGCTAAGTTATGGGGGAAAAGCAGTCATGCTAGGGGATAGGATGTGGATCTGAGCAGACCTGGACAAACTGTAAAGTTGGACAGTGTAGAACTGGATGCAGTTCAATAAGGATAAATGCAGAGTGCTTTGTCTGGGGAGAAGTAACCAGTGACACGAATATAGGTTAGGGGAAAGATGCCCTGCCCAGTACAGTGGCTGAAGAGGACCTCAGGTTTATGGCTGATCACAGGATGATCTTGAGTTGCCAGTGCAATACTAGTCAGAGCCAAATGCATATTAGGATGCATTAGCCAGTGTTGAGAGCAGGGTTAAGCAATTCCTTTTTACTCAGCATTGGCAAGCCCCTAGCTGGAGCACTATGTTGAGTTCTGGGCACCATACATAGAAAGCCAACACACACACACACACACACACACACAAAAAAACTGTTCACTAGGGCACCCCAGGGGAAGACAAGGAGCAATGGCCATAAACTGCCAGAGGATGCAAGGAAGAACTTCTTTATGGTAATGGTGACCAGAATCTGGAACAGGCTTCCCAAGCAGGTGGTGTAGCCCCCAACCTTGGAAGTCTTCAAGAGACTGGACAGACACCTTGCAGGGATCATATGATCTCAGCAGTATTCCTGCCTAGACTAAGGTGGCTGAACTCTTTTGAGGTCCCTTCCAGCCCTTAGTTTAAAGATTCTAAGTGTACAGTGATGGCACAGCTGGGTTAGGGTTTTTTTGTTTTACCTGGTTAATGTTGGCTAGTGGCTCTTCATCCTGCACCAGCATCTGAGCAAACTGCAGACCCTGTTCTGGACTGACTCTCATTACACTTCTCAACAAGAAGACCCAATCTGGTGTATAGCCAACCTGAAACATTGGGCAAAAAAAAAAAAAAAAAAAGTCAGAGATCCTCATGTCAGTTCTGGTAGAGCCCTAGAAGGTTTCTAAATCAATGTCACCCACTGAGAGCACCTAGATATTAAGTTAACTGACAGCAGCTGCATAAAAATGGTACACAATTCTCCCTTCCCATCCTGGGACAATATCAAGTCTACATACTAAAAAAAAGTCTAGATAGCAAGCTACTGAAAAGAGCAAGTGGAGCTCAGGGCACTATAGCTTACCAAGGAGTCAGAACTAGATTTCATAAAGTCTATGCAGGGCATTTAACAAAAACAAACCACCAACCTTCCCCATCTAGAAGTTAACACAGGAAGGACAGAGCACAGGCAAAGTTATCTTGTATAATCCTGGACAAGGTAAGTCCCATTAGGGAGGAGATTTTAGATCAAATGGCACCCAATACAGAGAGAGTTTCTCTGACATTAAGATCTGAGGGCACCTATACACATGCAGCAAGGCTGCTCCAACATGCTGCCATTATAGCAGAGTATATTTTAAATAGCCTGCTGGAGCAATAGAACTACCATGGCCCCAGCAGCTCATGCATTAGCATCTGTGCACTAAAAAAAAAAAGCTGTGGCAGGGGCCCTTTAAACTAAAAGCTTATTCAGTGGAGCTTTAAAGCACTCCCACAGCCGTTTTTCAGCACAGGGACACCAGTTTGAGATTCTCTGGGTGCTTTTCATTAGAACAGCTCAAAACTCCTCAAATTTAAGTGCCCCCCACCCCACCCCCCAGACATGTATAAGTGCCCTGGAACATCTACATTTGCTGTAGAAGACAAAACTTGAGACTTGCCCCTTTGAAGGATGGGCAGGATTACCATGTCTTCACTGAACTGCAAATCCAGCTTGCTCAATTTTTACTGCTTATCAGTTTTAAAAGATGATTGAATAGTTAAATCCTTGCCTTATCTCCCTGAAGTTGCCCTGTGAAGATACAAGTTATACTGCTGGACTCTTGTATTTGGGGCTGTTACACCACCTTATTTACCTTTTTGGCATAAAGAACTATTTTCTGGAATTGGCCAGTTTCTGCAAAGCACTGAATGACTTTGTTCGGCACATTAGCACGAAGGTAAACGCTGAGTGCAAGGGTGGGGTCAGCAGCCTTCACCAAGTCTCCAAGCTCCTCTGAACATTCCAGCTAAGAACAAGATTACCATATGGTCAGACCAAAAACAGAAGTGATAGTGGAGATTACCCACCCTCAAATAAAAATCAACATCCACTAATAAATTATTACCAGACTCATGACAAAGCAGCAAGCAAGAGACATTTGTATACCTTATCTTCCTTCAACCACTTCTCCAGCAACTGCTTCCGGCCTTGTTGCAGGACAGGACGGCAGAGTTCCAAGGACTCAAACTTATTGAGTTGCCCCTGATCAAGCAAGATCCCAAAGTACTGCAGCAAGGGCGAGGCCTGCCCCGGTTGTGCTGGCACACTCTGAAACTTTCTGATAGTGTCACTGGTACGCAGGATGCCCTGAGGAAAGACAAGAGACCGTAAGATCCTCACCATCTTGCATCTGCTATTCACCCAGATAGCCTCAATTCTTTCTGCACTTGGATGGAAAGCCACACACAAACTAGCCAGCTCAGACAGCTGGCACTGACACTCTTTAGGAGGTTCCTGATCCAAAGATGTGTTTTGCTGATACTTCTCCAACCTAAGCCCAACCTGGGCTGTAACTTCAGTAAGTTTGCAGAATCCACATAAGGAGTTTCTAGCAGAGTCATTCACCTTTATCAATTTACTCTGTACTGCAAGTCAAGGATCTCAATTCAGTTGGTAGTAGTTTCATTTACAAATAAGAATTAAATGAGTCTACAGATTTAGTGTGATCTTCTTGCCAGGATAAGCTTCTTGGATGTTCTGATCACCTTAACTCCAAAGCTTCAAATCCTAACACCACTCACCTTTGGTGCGGATGCTGCTACTTTAGCAGCTTCTGAATAGCTTCCTTGTGCAAAGAGTGTATTGAACTTCCTGGCAAAGAGTTCCTCTGCCCCAGCCAGGTTACTGCGGATTGCCATACGCAGACCCAGGTCTGGATTCTGGAGAACATTTGTAGCATAATTCACAATGTTGTCTTCTTCTACACAAACTGAAAGCACCTGGGGGGGGAAAGCCACATAAGCAACAGTCCTCAGCACTAACTTAATACTTAAAGTGAGAACATTAGAACAACTGAGCATTCAAAGTCAACAGCACCAAAACTGTCTCTAGCATGATTAAGCTATATAATACTTGCATAGCTTTTGGACTGCTGAATATACTAGATCTTTAGTTAGCTCTACTGCTCTCCAAGTACTAAGCTAGTTCTTCACACCTTCAAATGCTAGGCAAGACTTGGTACTGGACAAATAGTCCCTTTTAAGGAGTTCAGTATTATTACAGTTTACAGGCCGCCTGTCTCAACTTGAGATCTTTTTTCTGGTAAGGCTGTCCCATTAGGTCTGATGGGACACTAGAAGCTAGGTAAAGAGCTGCTCTACCTCCATATCCTAGGAAGACTTTCTACATTTTGCCCCAGGAACTGTTACTTGGTACAGCAGTCATGCTGGAAGCAGGTATGTCACCATGTTACACCAATGTCAAAATCCTCTATTCCAACCATGTACCACATTTAACTAATGCCATCAGATAGACATTACCAAGCATCTTGCATGTGGATTCAAAATTCTGTGTCTCTAGGTCAGGACAACTGAAGGCAGAGTTTGCTCCCTTGCCAATTAACATCTGACAGCTAACTGGGATTCGACCACTTCAGCAATCACAAGGTAGTCTACAAACAGACAAACCACTTGCCCCTGGTGTTTATTTGCCATGGGTTCCAAATTTTATTTTAAGAGTTTTAGGCACTACATGTCACTTAGGGCCATTTTAACTACAGAAAAAAAAATTATAGGGAACCATAGAATCAATGAGTCAGAAGGGACCTAGACAGATCATCTAGTCCAACCCCCCCACCATGGGCAGGAAGGAGCACTGGAGGTGGGAGGGGTCATAAGACCCCCAGCCAGGCACCTGTCCAGTCTCCTCTTGAAGATTTCCAGGGAAGGTGAGAGCACCACCTCTCTGGGAAGCCTATTCCAGGCTCTGGCCACCCTTACAGTGAAGTAGTTCTTCCTAATATCTAATCTAAGCCTATCCTCCCTCAGCTCGTGGCCATTGTTCCTGGTGACTTCAAAAAGGGGGGCCCTGGTGAACAGGCTTCCCCCAACCCCCTGCTGCTGGGCCCTGATAAGGTTGTAGGCAGCCACAAGATCCCCCCTCAGTCTCCTTTTGCGGAAGCTGAAGAGATTCAGGTCCCTCAGCCTCTCCTCACAGGGCTGGCCACAGAGGCTCCCCACAACCATATGAGTGGCCTCCTTTGGACCCGCTCCAGGTTCTCCATGTCCCTCTTGAAGTGCAGCACCTAGAACTGGACACAGGACTAGCTGCTGCCTGACCAGTGCCACATAGGAGGGGGAGCAAGACCTCTGGGCATGTTAGTGATGCCCCTGTTGATGCACAACAGGGTACAGTTGGCTCTGCTTATTGCTTCGTCGCATTGGCAACTCATTTCATCCTGGAGTCAACTGAGATTGCAAGATGCCTCTGTGCTGCTGAGAAGGTCAGCCCCTAACCTATAACCATAATGCTGGTTCCCTCTCCCCAGGTGCACTCTGCACTTATCCTTGTTGAACCGCATGAATCACCACTGCATTCCCCTGTCTCTTCAAGATTGCTCATAACTGCCCTTCCCAAACAGGCTATCAAAGCATTACAATGATTTCTTCTTGCACAGTTTGTTGAGATTTGATTAAGCCAGTGGTTCCCAAACTTTTTTTGCCATGACCCACTCCTGGGAGCAGAGTGTAGTGGCAGCAGTGGCCTTAGAGTGGGGAGCTCCCAGCATACTGCATGGCTCATCCTTTGTGGAGGTGATGCCAGCAGCATTGTATGGTGACCCTCATTTGGGTCACAACGCAAGGTAGGGAACCACTGGATTAGAGCTAACAAAAAAACCACCACTACAGTAGCGTACTTAGAAGTTTATCTAGGATACTTCATGCCATTTCACGGTTTAAGAGTAGGTTGCAGGACTACCTGTCCTTTCTTGTTCACACCAATGATGCCAGAGGTAGGCTCATGAGGAGCAGTGACAAAAATAGTGTCAGCACTAATACGGTTCATGTAAATGCACACTCCAGATTCCAAGTCATACATATGTATGTATCCATATTTTGTGATTAGGTATATAACTCCATGCTTGGCTCCAATCTGTCAAAAGGAAAAAAAAAGTTACCATTTTGGCTGTTCATTTAAAATGATACGACCTAATATACACCTTACCTGGATGGGAAAAAAAAAAACAGCAATTATGACCTCAGCCCAGAAGGGGGTGGGGAGGAAGGGGAAAAGAGCTACAAGCAACTCTAAAAACTCAAGAGCTACAAAGCCGCAAGTGGCTGGTGCAAGATAAAATCTCCCCCAGCCTCATAAAAGCTATAGGAGAAAAAAAAAAAAAAAAAAAA